TCGGCTTGGAGAAAAGCTTACTGTCTAGTAACTGGGAAATACTTGAGAGGAGGACAGGGGTCTTTTCTCATGAGTAAGCCACTTTCCACCCTAAAATACCGTGGCTATCCACCCTGAGCATCCGCAGCCTTGACGCTGTAGCCCATGGTTTCAATGCACCCAAACTAGCTTTGAGAGCGTATGTAAAAGATTTAGGGGAGTGCCACGTATGACGTCACCAGGCTGAATGAAACGAGAAGCACGCCCGCTACGCCCCCTTTGTTGAGACTGAGGAATAACTTTCCCCTGAAACTCGCAAAAGGAAGAACGTCGGCGCTGTAGGTGTCCCCATCAGTACCACCTCAACTATGAACATGGATTAGTACGAAAGTTTCGCAACTCGAATGAGAGGCTTGCACGTGAGGAGCAGCTCAACATTAGCTCGAACAAGATTCTCCCTAGAGGAACACCTGGAGGGCACAGCTCACGATGAAAATGGCTTCTGAGGTATTACCCTAGGATGATTTGTAGCCTCCTCGTATATCAAATAAGAAGCTCTCATGTCGGAAATGGCCCAGAAAGGTCGTTATTAAAGCTCAAAGATTGTCCTGTGCTATACGCGGAATAGTTTCAACGGCATTGGGGAAGCTACACTGTTCACAAAGGAACCATGTAGGAAGTTCAAACAACTTGTAAACACCCATAGCGACAGTGAATGAGTATTCAGTTTTGACTTGATGTAGTCTGCTCTTTGCGCAATTGCAAGACTGTAATCTCGTCTAAGTGCTCCTTGCATATCATTTCCGTCGTGGTAATTTCGAAGAACCTCTACTTACTCTCGTAGAACTTCGTAGAACCTTTCAAAGAGCCTTTTTTCACTAAATGAGTTCTGAATTGTCGCTTTCTCCAAATACCGATGCAACATTCAGAGCTAATATTTCCGCCTTTCGACTTGAAAAGGTACCTCGAAACTATCGTGAACTGTGCCTCTAAGAGACATACGTCGAGGCTCGCAGATTGTAGTGGAGTGATGAGGAGTGATAAGGATGATAAACTGCCCGTGTTCCTTATGCCACTCAACAAAATTCAGATATTAGAGGTCTCGTCGGGAAGGTCTTTGTGCATTTTGCATTTTTTTTTTTATTTTCTCCTCCACAAGGAGCAACGATTAGCAAATATATGTATCATTATCGACAATGTATTGGCATTCAAAAAAGAAACTCGCCGCTGCACGTCTCGAGTTGATTCACATTATCGAACTTTTCATCTTCCAAATAGTCCGATAGCGATTGGAACTGATTGTTAATCTCTTGGGTCCAGATTTGGTAAAAATGGTGGGTGGGTCGAAACATACCATCTCATGCTCCTAAGTTTCTTTTGAGTCTTCTTTGCTATGTGTGGGGGAAAAACGTTGTTGTGGAAAAAAGCTAGATTTTCCGCTGTTTCTATGGTAGAGGTGCAGCAACGCAATCCAGCTGGGTATGGTGTACTTCGGCAGTGACAGTCGAGTTCGATGGCAGCAACTCTCAGTGAACGATACCATCTGAATTCCAATGAACCCTGAGGATTGCCTTTTGAGATCGGACTTCTCTTTTGGGTGTCAGAATTCTATGCTCTCCACGTTCAAGCCATTGGGGCTTTCTCATAGGGTTTACGAAGAGGATTTTTTTCTTGTCGCCAGGACGTCGGGCTATGCGAAGGTGTATCCGAAGTCAACAAAATCTGACATGTATCTCTTCTCATCTAGAGCTGGTGACCATTCAGACCATACGTTATACATATATACGCTGCCTTTCAAGACTAGGCAAATGAGCAGCTACTGTGTCGTGCTGGCTGTTAACTTCTGTGCTAGCTCTACGGGACTACCCCTGAAATCCTCTGCAACTAGCTTCGGAAGGTGGTCGTGATTCAGCTAATCCGGCACCCAGATAGTGGTTTTCCGGTCAAGCCAAAGTGTCCATTTTTGGACTTGTGGTGTAAGTCCTTATCGTGATATAGGAGGCAGTGGAGGGTTCCATATCAGCAAATATGTTACTTGTCGCACGATTTGGATTTACGTTTTTGCTGAAATCGTTAAAGAAGAGTAGTCTAATTTGCTTTGATACAGAGCTATTCTTTCATTGCAAATTGCTGCGACAGATATAGGCCCGTATGCATAACGCCCGGGGTAGGGGAGGGAGAGGAAATGTTTGCCGAGGGCGCGAGTGTTCAAATGGGGGTTTTGCCTTTGTTCTGTGTCAAGATAGTTGCAATGGAGCTAAGTATTTTCCTATAAACAGGTGAAGAATCGACAGCCCTTGGTAATCATGTGATGTTTGTCTCTGCGACCTTACCTTAGCGAGAGCTCAGAGCAGCTCGACCCCATTGGCTCCCCGGGGGATGAATCTACCCCTAGAATAGAGCTGGGGCGCCGATGGTCATGTAGACCGCAACTCTGCTATTCACTACATTATTCGACTGAGCGCTTATTCCTCTGACTTCTGCTGCCGAATTCGTCAAGTATTGCTCTGATTTTATTCTACTGCTGCAACCAACTACCAATTTATTTAAATTGCTGACGTCGTTACTGTAGAGCAGTTTAGTTTTCGAATATGCAGGTT